GGTCATAACCTAATTGCACTGGACTATTGGTCTAAAAGACCGATGTAACAAACCAAATCATCGGTTCGGTAATCTACAATCGATGTAAACAAATAACTTCGAACATCGATAGAAAAGACATCGATGTTTCGAAAACATCGACAATCGGAATTGATGCTCGCTCTCATTCTCTACTTTCTACTCTAGTGTTCGTGTGGAAGGAAATACAGAGTAACCATAACCTAAAAGTTTTAAACTGATCTGAAACTTAGAAACGAGTCAAACGTTTGAAGTAGTGGTTGACAGACTGGACAGTAAGATCACTTGTTGCACTCGTGATTCAGTTTTGTGCTTCTTATAATTGATTACCCAACACTCAGTGGAACAAGTGTTCAGATTAAATATTTTTTATTACTGATATATATTATACTTCCGATACTTTACAACGTTAAAATAAGAAGTACCTTGCCTTGCCATAAAGGTCAAAATGGCTTGCGCCGGCTGGAACTTAATCGTCTTCTGTGTTTGTTTTGGTCAAATATGTCGTCGTCGTCATTTCAAACTACTGTCAGTGTTGAGTAAATGTGTTACAACGTGAGATTAAGTTTATTTATTTAGGCCTAAGTTGCAAGAAGTCAATGTTGTGCTGAAAAATGGTGATTTCGTTCTGAGGAAGGTAGCCTAAATGTGGTAAATGTTTTTTTGAAGCATATAACTAGGTGTTTTCAGTCAATACGAATCTAACTAATGAGATGTAAATTTAATTAAATAATTGTTTTAACTGTGATTTAAACCTGTGTAGGCAAATAATAATATATAAACTGATCCAATCTGAAGAAACATCCTCCTAACTAAGTTTATTTTAACCTTTTCTGTAATGCAATTAATTATTTTTTTATTACTTAATGTAAGTTAGCCTATGTCTAAACTTACATACATTCCATAACTTTTGTTTCGTTCTTAGCTTTAACTAAATATTTATTTACATAATCTTACCTTTTTAGAGTGTTTTTATCAGTCAGTCGGCAACCTTTAATCTTCTCAATAAATAAAAGTTGGTTCAGGCTTAACTTAGCCTAGATTCAGCTTTGGATTACAATGTAGGCTAGCCTACTGTGTTACAGTATAAAGTAATAAAGTGCATGTGCGTTTTAGTAGGCCTAGATATGGCCCATTACTAAGTTAACCGTTTCTTGATCATGTTCTTAACATTTGTTTTTATAGTAGCCTATTATCTTAATTTGATGTTTAGACAGTAAAGTTCTAGGCCATTGCTGGATTAACTAGCCTAGTTAAACCTTTTATGTTTGGATGCAATGTTTTTTAGGTTAGGCCTAGACCTAACTACCAATCCGACTTATTTTTTAATTTATTATTTCTTCTAACGTTTGAATTTATCATTAGGCCTATGATGTTGTTAAATCAGATGTTTCAATTTTTTTAAATAATTACATCGTAGCCTATTATCACGCACAAGATTTTTATTAATATCCTTTTTCATCTGTGATTTTACTTTTTTAGACTGGATGAATTATATTAAATTCTTATTTTTAACTCTAAAATAAACGCATGAAATGTGTTTTATTTGATAGTAGTACACAAAACTACATATTGTCGGTAAATTAATGTTCAATTCTGAACTAGGCAACACTCTTTTATGGTGAAATTGTGCGAGCATATACCCCATGAATTTTTCAAAACTACCAATGAAAACCTTGAATTATGCATGAATTTTTTTATCTCACTTTGGTGGCAACCCTGGTAAGGCGCGGTTCCCTAACTGTGTTGGTGCAATCGATTGCACACATGTCAAGATTCAATCGCCTGGAGGCCCTCAAGCTGAAGTCTACCGCAACAGAAAAGGCGTGTTTACTAAAAACGTACAAGCAATTTGTGACTCCACTCTGATGTTCAGGAACATCGTTGCTCGCTGGCCTGGCAACACACATGATGCACATATTTTCAATTCATCAAAAGTAAAGCGGGATTTCGAAAGCAATGAGTTTGGAAATGGAGTTTTGGTGGGAGATGCTGGGTACGGGTGTACGAACTACATGATCACCCCTCTGGACAGTGTTACAACTCCAGAAGAGCAATTATTCCAAGAATCCCAAATCAGAACAAGAAATCCCATCGAACGATGCTTCGGAGTATGGAAACGGCGTTTCCCTGTTCTTTCCCTAGGGATTCGAGTGAAGGAAGAAAGGGTTGAAAGCATAATTGTTGCTGCAGCTGTTTTGCACAATGTCTGTATTTCTGAAAACGAAGCTGTCCCCCCTGTGAATGACGAAGTAGAGGCAGCAATTGCGGCTTTAGAAACACTAACTCCTCAAGTACCGGTAGGCAGAGTTTGCCAACAAGCCCCAAGAAATGTCCCAGATCAGAACACTATTGTAAGGAACAACCTTATTAACAGATATTTTAGAAGTTTGCTGTAAATAAGCCAGTATCAATGTTTTTTTGTGAAATCCATTTATTAAATGTTTATTTTTTGTGTTCAAATATTTTCAATTTGTTGGCCATTTATAGGCCAGTAGGCCGTGTTAGGTTGTGTTGTATCTTGGTAACCAACTAGACTAAAAAAAAAATCCCTACCTTTGAGTTGTATAAAATCCAATTTGTAGATTTTAGGATGCAGCCTATATTGTATTTTTAAGTTGAAACACTGCTGACTAACCAAATCCAAGCGTGAACCTTTAATCATTAATCAAAATTAAAGATTAATAATAATTAATCAAATACTACTGCACTATGTTGAGGTTTGACGGCTGTAAGATTAAATAACACATCATAATAATAACTGAAATTTATTAAATAATGAACTTAATCATGCAATCACAATTTATACAAAAGTTTACACCATAATAGAGAGGAATAAATCAGCTATAGGTCACAACAAATGTTATAAATCACAGAAATAATTATTACAAGTCATAAAATGTTGTGATAGTGTTTAGCAACCTAAATTATTTAATTATTGCACAGATAATGATACAAGACCCTAGTCATCAATTTGAATCACAAGGGGACATTTACTTATAACTAAATATTGCAAGGGCGATTCTGAATCGGAATAAAATTAGATTGAATAAGGTAGATATCTATGGCCTATGCGGCATAATTGTTAAAAACTGGTGTAAAGCCAAAAATTAACAAGAATGTCTATGGGTCAAAGATTTAGCTGACCCTAAACATTATCCTAAAATACACATCATCACAAATGAATCAATAGATTGTACATGTAAAGTACAACAATTTTTATTACGGGCATAGAATCATTTGAAAGTCGGTAGGCTCGTAACGGTTAAAATTTAAAGTCCAGAATTAAAGTCAAATTGTTTTATACAGTCTATTGATGTAACGCTAGATCGAAATATTAAATTATTTGGCCAAGCTGGATTTTAATTAGCCTATTTTGGTAAAAGCTCAGTTCATGGAGTTGTTTTGAAATATTCATGAGGTTAATTAAATAAGTAGATAGCACCTGAGTACTGAAATTTGGAGGGTAGAAGCATTGTAGCCTCAGTAGCTAACGGTGGGACGCAGCAGTTAAGTTGGCACATCAGCAGAGGTTAGATTAGGTCCCGGATGACGCTTGGAGGTTGCACGACATTGTCAGTGTTGAACCCTTGTAGTAGGCTAGGTCTAGAAGTTTACATTCTCGTAGCTGTAGGTCAAGGTAGGAGCACTGGGCCTTGGACCACCATCCTATGCATTCTTCTTTTTGTACAAAACTTAACTGTAGAACATCTTAAATGGCGCAGTAGGTTGATGGAAAATGAGGCCTAACTTTCCGTTTCTGTCCCTTTTATAAAGTTTTTGGTCAGCCTTCTAGAAACTTCTATCCAGGCATTCAGCGTACTACACAGTGTACAGTTCGGCCAAAGTTTCTGTGCAGATCTGTTCCAGATCTGTTCGGGTCCAGGCAAGGGGGTTGGTGGGGATACTTTACGAAAAACATTTCTGTCTTGCTACTCACTCATCACTAGCATCTCATTTTCTTGGTCCGGAATGGATAAGAACCTTTTCTGCGAAGGAGTGGGGAATCGAGTGGGGAGAGCCCCTCACGTCGATTTAAGAAAAATGTTATATCTTATATCTAAACTATATTTTATAGTTTTTTAGCTATAAAACTAACTTTTTAATTATAAGGTAAACTTTTTAATCATAAAATTATTTTACAATGTTTAATTATAAAACTAAACTGTCATAACCTAACCCAACCAACCAAACTTAGTGATAATATAAAAAAGATATTTAGATAAAAATTGAATGAAGGTTTATTAATTAAAAAAAAAAATAGTTCTGTTCATCAATAAAATTATAAATGCCTCAAATTCTAACAAAAGATGTAGGCTACAGCTAAGCAGTATACACATTCAAGCAAAATGTTTTAAAAAAAAGCCTCTAGGACACCAGTCCGAGACGCTATCAACTACGCCACGAACGCCAATCCTAATACATCGTCTCGTTATGGTAATGGTGTTCCCTCAAGAGAAAAGTGACTCCATCGCTAAAGAGGTTCTCATCCGTTGCTGGCTAGGAAAACGAGAAATAACTATAATGTAATTTGACAATGCCTATTCCTATGTACAACTTGGTCAATGGCAATAAACATTCTTATTCTAACTCACTCACCCCTACCTTCAGCACTGCCAATAACCAGTAGCTGTATGTTTTAGTTTGGCTAGTAGAGACCCGCCCACGCGCACAGAAGTTTTGGCCAAACTGTACCATCTGTCAACTTAGCCGTGACAAAATTTCTCAGTCCTGGCAACTGACATGGCTCAATCTAGGCCTAGGCCTACTTAAATTCATTATATAACACTGTTAAGCTCTATTCATTGTAATAACTGTTCAATTTCCAAATGAAGTTATGAAAGTCTTCTATTTTGAATTGTGTAATTTACTTACTCAAAACGCAAATGACACACAGAACATTTCAGAAATAAAAAGTACAATATATTTTGAAATTATTTAAAAGTGTAAAAAAAAAAACATTGTCTTTACCAGTAATAATAATAATAATGGTGCAGAATGTAATACCAAACAGACCAAACACCAAGAAGCATAATGCTGTTTTTTCTACAATCGAACACATGAATAATTTAGTTATTTTTTAAAAGAGCCAATTCCGTTGCCTGTTTTTCGATTTTCAAATTTAAAAGTGTCATTTTTTTTTGGTGCTCCTCTTCTAAATGCCTTAATTTAGCCTCATGCTCGTCTTCCAAAAATTGAATTTGTTTTGAGTACAAAGTCTTTTGAAGCTCAAGAACTTCTTTTTTGACGTTACTGATAGCTTCAACCTTCTTCCCAGCTACCGAGGCATCCAATACGGATTTCTTCTTTCTAAAAAAAAAAAAATAGAAAAATTAACCTTATTACATTGAATATTATTGGTACGGTAATTTAATTCCACAATAATTGGGCGATTGACAAAAATTGTAATATTGTGGAAAGTTTGCCATTGTTTAACTTACAATCCAGAGTTGGTACTTTCAAATTAGTTAAGTTCCTGATAATGACAAACAAAATAGGCTACTATTTACAAAGTATTTGACCTTTTTATCAACTCATGAAAAAAGTACGTTATATCGGACGAATAACTTATTCTTTATGATAATGGTAGGCTAATATTGTTTATGGTAATGCAGTTTTTCTGCGGAACTATACCTCAAAATGAAATAAAATTTATGTTACAGTCGAGTTAAGTGGCTTAAATTTTGTACTAAAATACAAGTGAAATAAGCAATTGATTTTAATAATGCCACTGCAGATCGCTTGCGGAGCTAAGTTAAGTTAGGTTGCTGTACATTGTTATATTTTAGTAGGTATATTTAGTTACTGTAATCAGATAAGCTTATCATATATAATAACCTACATTAACCTAACCTATCCTAACCCCGCAGAGCGCTGTATTGTGGTATTCCTAATATCGTGGCCTCCGCATAATCAATAACTACCAACTTAGGCCAACCTTTGAACTGCCAATGGCGTAGAGGATGTCTTGCGAAGATCTCGCATGTTGAAGGGTTTAATATTAGCCCTAAACTGCTCCATCGGCTTGTCAGTTTCTTCCTCTTCTTCAACATATTCTTCAGTAGGCCTATCTTTCACAATTGGCAATGCAGGTTTTGGCAGCCCTATCCCTACTAGCCCGCCAAAAACCTTTTTGGTGGTAACATCAGCATTAGAACACTGATGCTGCTCCATCGAACTTTCATTTTCATCATCATTCAGCATTTCTAACTCCAGCATGACTGGCAAGTGTTCAATGTCCATTTCGGTCTGTTCGGATGCTTTGTCCAAGGGGTTAGCATCAGAGTCGAACTGGGAATTTCCCCCAAACACGACTAGATCCCCTAATAATTCCTTAACTTTTAAGTCGGTGTCGGTTATCTCAACCTTTATTGGGGGTCCACCTCCAGTACCCATCGTGTATGATTTCTCATCGGCAAATTTTCTTTTAGTGGTTTTTTTAAGGTTTTCATACTTGTTTTTTAATGCTTTTGAGTCTCTGAAATAAACACCACTGGCTTCATTAAATTCAGCTTGTATGCGGTCCCATACAATGTCTTTGTCCCTATTGGACACATGGTCAGTCTTCTTGCACTCCAAAATGTCCCGATGACTTTTTACTAAATCCAAAAGTAATCTGATTTCACATTCTTTAAAATTTTTGCTTCTATCCCTATTCTTTTCCATCCTAGTTCAAAATCCACAAACTTTTAACTAGCCTAGAATAAGTTAACACTGATCAATTTCCTAAACTAAATTTAGAAATAAATACTGGATTTTTAAAAAGAAACTAAGATAATAGTAAGTAAAATAAAGAACTAGCAATTAACAAATTAATACAAGAACTTAACGCCTGATGATAAAAAATAAACAGAACCTATTGTAACACTAGGCTTGTAGATTAGAATACGTACCAAGAACTCGAATGACGCCACGATATCGTTAGCACAGGATATCCGTGGTCTATTGTTGGCTGCCATTTGCTTTGCCTTCTGAATTTGATAATTACAAAATAATAATTCTTCTTGTTATAAAAGAAAACCAACTTGATAACATAACCTTAAACAATGATGTTATTCTAGCTGCATTCACACTTTGATCGTCTGCTCTACTGAGTTGTAGCGTAGCATAGCGAGCGTTTTAAGAAACACTAGCCCAAAGCCCACCGAAGATTGCTTACAAATACACATTCAGGATTGCCAACCGCTTGAATTGCCGTTTATCTTAAACGAAGCCAGTAAAATGTTGGAGAAACCGAACACACATTTTAAACGGAATTTAAAAATAAACTAGTTTATTATAAACGAAGTTTAAGCCATTTTGGGGAAACCGGGCCTAAGTCAAAAACACTGTGGTTTAAACCCCGTTTTCCATTTGAGTTTAAAAAACCTTAGAAATGATAAACCATTGAAATTCAACCACTTATCTGTCTGTTTACAGAATATTTCAAAGACAAAGACCCCACAGACAGCAACAAAGCTATGTTCACGTTGGAGGAGTGGGTAGAGAAGACCCTCTACTCGTGAAGAGACCACGTGGCCTACCCGCACTCAACGCAAGATCTGCGTCCTTACAAGAGGGTTCACAATCGTGTTCAAAACGCCTTTGAATCTCAGGAGCTCTCCATGATTTCTCTATAGGAAGTGGACTTTTCTCTTCGCCACATCCAAGTCCAGCCAGTATTATGTTCAAAGCTAATTTATATGTATCACGTTTTTATACTTTGTACTCTTGCTTAAGAAGTCAGATTTGTAAATTTCTAGGTGTAAACTCTATCAGGTATGTTTTGCTATCAGTTGTTGAGAAACCTGAAGGTCTGTAAAGTGATAATTTCGCTAACTTTAAAAATTATATTTCTTATAGTTTTGAACTTGTACATTTTGTTTCATACTACCCTTGTTATATTGATTTATGAATTGTTAACATAAACTTTTGCCTCATAAAATGCACAATTTTTGACTATGTAAATGTCTTCAAGTTTACATTAATGAATATAACGTTTCCAATTAACGCTTATGTATGTTATAGTAGGAAGCAGGTGTTTTGTACAGATATAAATGCTAAACAGCTTTATTTTTTATAAATGTTTTATGTAGTGCACTTGGTCTGAAATGTTTTGTCATCAACTTTTAATATAACTACAATCAGATGCATATTGTTCTGAATATTTGAATTTAAATAAATTATCTAAGTTGAATGTTAACGTGTTTATTACCGGTTTTTTACACTCTGGTTTGTTTAAGTTATTTATTTCCTATCAATTAGCTTGTTCAGTATGTTTTCCAAATGGTCTTTCAGTTGGATAAGAATTTAAAATGGACGGTCCAGACTTCTTGGGTGATCTGGACGAGAGTCCGGTCCCTAGGTGCCTAGATTAGAAGGAGTGGACTGTATTTGTGAATGGAAAATAAACATTCATGATCTCAAACTTTCTTTATTAATTGGAAAATTAGCTGATTACATAATATCTTTTCCCATAAAAGCCTTGCTTTTCTTCATCTGAAAAAGTTCATATAGGATAATGTGTTGAATTGAAATATTTTTTTTCCTACACTTACCTGACAAAGTGGGCTGCCTTGCACTGATTATAGTACGCCAGTAGCTAATTGATGCATTAACTTACTTTTGCCGCACTAATTTTATTTATCAGCTGGTGCAGCATTTTCCAGCATTTGACTATTGATACTACACACTTAACCTGTTGTTTTGTGTTAGGCCTAATATTATATTTTCGTTTAACGCTTTGATTTAACCTAACCTAAAATGTGTTGTTTAGTGCTTGAAAGACTAATTATTTATACGCTTTATAGTAACTCTAGGAAAAATATAATGTGTAACGCAAGCGCAAAGTGGCTCTTCGTTACACAGATAACTATTAGGCATCACATTCAAACAAATTTTCTACTTGAAATGAGGATCTCCACTTCAAATTAATTGAAAATTACTGTGAGAACACTAGTTTTAAGTTCTTATTCTAGATGTGCTACTATCAACAAAGAAAGGCATAAATAGTTTAAATAACATTCTATATTTATTTATCAGGTATGATAGATAAAACATACTCCCTTAGTAGATTTGGCATCCTTATGGAACAGCTGAAGTAAATTTTTTTGTTAGTTCTGTGCATCCAACTGTAGAGGTTGTGTTTTGCTTACAATTTCTTTCTTGTTATTTCAGTAATTTAAAATATCATCTAACCAAATAAAACTACCTATATAATCATAAGCAATAACTGGTCTTCTAGTTATATAACCAAATAGTAAAGCACAAATGACAAAAATAACCCTAAAATAATATAAACAAAATTTTGTCTACCCCAGCGATCAGTGTGGACGTACATGAACTAGACATGAAAAACTAGCTTCAAAATTCACAATGGGATGAGGAGTCTATTTGTTGGTTAGTTTAGGGTGTATGTCTTATCTATGGTCTATGGTATGATGTACCAATTTCATTTTTAAATAACCTGGAAACCCCGCGTCAATTTACCATTAGTACCAGAGTAAATTAAGGTTGCGTCAACACTACCCACCAGTATTCAGAAACTTACGAGTTTTATCGGACAAATGATTAATTCCTGCCAAGCCGTCTCCTCCAATGTTGTAACCTCCCATCTTCTGGACAATGTTTTTGAACAACTCAAAACGTATCTTGAGTTCATCAAAGTTGTTATATTCCCGCATGTACTTTTTCATGAAGTTCTGAAATTTGGCGAAGTTAGAATCAACTTCAGATGGAGTCGATATGTCCAATTTTCCATTTATTACGTATGAATCAAAGGCAGTTTTGAAAGCATTTAAATCACTGAAGACAATGGGTGTTTTTAGTTCATTTTGCTTTGCTGCTAGAGCTCCTTGGAATTTGACGAATGCATCATCTGTTTCAGTAAAAATCACTGGATTCTGGCCAACCTAAAACACATTCTGTATAAGAGATCCGATTTTATAAATACTAGTGACAATAGAACTGTTCCATATAACCTGAAGTTCAACCTATAACTGTGAAATAAAAATAACTAACTGCCAAGAGCTGCATTTAAATTAAACCTAAATATTTCAAATTCATATCACTTCTATCACTCTTATCCAAAATATACATTGACTAAAGATGAGTTAGTTTCAGTTTTGTGATCAAACCATTTGAGATTTTATTCATATTTTCAACAAAAAATTTAGTATTTATAAGAGAAAATGTATTTATGTCCAAATTTAGCTAGGACTGTCGTATCCACATTATTCTCATCCATCTTATAACTCTGCATTTCTGGTTTAAGTTTGAGGATGAAATTATATTTATTGTGATCATTTGTAAGCTCCATCTAAAGAATAGATCAAGTCACTAGAATCCAGGTCTATATACCGACCCAATAAATACAATTTAACTTGGATACTAATGTAGTCTTCCTACATATTAATAGGCAAGCATTTTACTTGAAAACCTTTTTTTCTCAGCTCGTTCCATTAACCAGCTCTATTCAGTGTTTTACTACCAAAGAACATAGTTGAAATAGCATATTGTAGAAAGTGCTACCAGTGCTTGGAAGTCCCATTTTCTCTTTTAGATTATTATCATAGTGTATTACCACCAATTAACATTACCAATGGTGGGAACTCCACCAAGGTTAAAAAATACGAGTGTAGAATAAGTGAGATCTCAGTATGGTTTTGTTATTGACTAAGATCGGCCTTTTAATTAGTCAGAACCATTTATTAAAAGTCCAATAGTGGAGGACAGCTGGGTTCAGTTTCGAACCATCAAAAAGCTACTAACTTTTCTCAGGATCAAACCAGCGACCTTGGGATTACCAAGCGAGCACTATAACCACTCAGCTACTCAGCTGGTAAAGTTTACAAAAAATTGTACTTAGAAGAACAACTAAAAGAAAATAAAGTTGACATGGTTGAAAACTGTCCATGAAAGAAAACAGTATTTTACAACCAAAAGACTCTGACAGTTTCTGAATATTATAAGTTTCTTGTTATTCTACAACTTTAATGAGGGATTTGAAAGTTTACTTTACGGTAGAGAATCCCAAAGATACGTAGTCAAAGTAGTTTTTTAAAAGAAAACACTTTGGCATGGATTGAGGAAGAGAAATGGATACTCAACAATTAGAATAACCGAGAATGGTTTCTAATTCTTTCTTCTGAAGTAAGCATATAAAGTTTATTGTGTTGTGAACTTTTTGTGTGGAACACTTCTTAGGTAAGTAAATTGTGTATCCATTCACTCCTCCCCAATGTATTGTCAACATACAGTAATAGCATAATAACTTAATCTCAATAGAGAGTGATAACTGGTTTATCAAAAAATAAAATAGAAGAATATCTCCAAAAAGAAAATTCAGTTATTAAAATATAATAGATATAATACAATAGCCACAAACATTACCCGTTTCCTAGATGCCCCAACAAATGAGACTAAAATCAAAACCAAAGCGATCACAGGCTTCATGTCTTGATCTCACTTTCTGAATAGAAAATGTCAAACTAAAGATTGGTATTGAACATCCTGCATTCGACAATCTATTTACTTGTCAATCAATTGTCAATCCATCATTTACAAATGCGCAACACTTGTGTAAACAATGTTTCAAATTTTTATTGTTTGTATAAGAAGCTAGAGGGTACTTTGAAATGCAAACTTTCTTAAAAAATAGTGGGTTTAGGAAAAAAATGTAAGAAAACCCGCTCGGCTCAGCTAATTAATTTATATTGTGTATATCTAGTGAGAATTTAATAGGCACACATATTGAACTTTAAATAGTATGACTTCTAATCTTCAAAGTAGGAAGATACAGTAACATAAGGATATCAGACCCTGAGATATTCATTTCCGACTATATTCAGTAACTGTAACTCTGAAACATACTTATGACAACAACCGTCTAACTGCTTATCCATACAAAATATATTTGAACGTTTTTTTTTTTACGAGAATGTAACACCATAACAATTGGAACATAATTGATATTGTTTGAGTTGTAAATAATTTGTAGGTGTCATTCAGAGGTAGGCTTTTTGCTTAAAGCAAGGTAAACTATTATTTGAGTTTTCCATCAAACTGAGTATTTAACTGCATTAGTGCATTGTATAGTTCAAACATAGAAACTTAAATACTCACGTTACTTTTGGATACACGATCATAACCGAAGATATCAATAATACACACCAAACCCAAAAGAATAACTGCCTTAACCATCTTTAACATGGCTGTACACTGCATGCACTGAGCTCGCCACTGTTTGGTTGCTCCAAATCAATAGGCGTGATGAAAGATGTTTTTATCAGAACAAAAACACAACCAGTCAGTTTTTGTGGCTATCGTCAACAATGATATTAGTGACCTTCCAAAGGCCGCCAAACAAACTCAATCACCTGATTAACATTTCACGCGTTTGGGCTATTGTACGAACATAATAAATTGTATGCTACAAAACTTTGTTATTTTAGGTGGTTGATGGGTTCGGGATGTAAAACTAATTTTTAATAAAAAAAAACAAAATATCCCGCCACTGCAAACCTGTGTAGGTACTAAGAGGAATTTCATTTGTCAAGATAAGATTTTTACTAAAATATTCCCTTTGATATGTCAAATTTATGCCTTATTCATTATGTTTAACGAGTACCTTTGCTGATACTAGATTAAAAACTATGTTTTTTCATGTCAATAGTAAATGCATAGCTTAAAGTAAATGCATTTATTTGATCTAAATCCATAAACAAGCAAACTAGCAAAAGTTTACTTTTCTCCGTTAGAATAATATGGAAATTATATAATGCACGATTTTTTTTATTTCCTCCGTAAACCTTTATTGTAAGACAATGCTTCGTAATAAAAAATGTAAGCTCAACACATTGGCTGAAATAAACTTAGGTATTATCACGTTTCAAGGGTAAAAAGTAGAAAAAACATTTTTGAAACACTTCAAAACTCCATAACACCTCGTTCCCATGACCGGATCGATCTTGCTGGTTCGCAAACTCCAAGTTTATTTTGTTCCCCACATTGCCGCCAAATTTTATCAAAATCGAACCAAAACTACTCGAGCTATCGTGTTCACGAACTTGCATAACAATTTGAATCAATAGTGTCTTTGGTTTCTGATGACATCAAAATGAAAAAGTAAATCGGTCCCGGGTTGTACGGTCATAGCCTCCTCTAATACAAATCCGTGGCGAGACAAAAGTGGCAACACCGCAATCCCGGCCTACCGAATCAGCTGTTGTACTAACTAATATTGGAGCTTCTGCGCAATATTTATGTTCACATGTTTGTTATTACTGTTATTACCATAGCAACAGGCCGGTGCGACGTTGCCACACCAACGCCATACGGACGTAAACCAAGGAAATGTAAATAATATGAATAAAGGCCTACTAATGGCAGAATATATTACCATAGATAAAACATACTAACATACTCCCTTAGTAGATTTCTCATCCTTATGGAACAGCTGAAGACAATTTTATTGTTAGTTCATGTACGGTTTATGTAGAGGTCGTGTTTTGTTTACAATTTGTTTCCCGTTATTACAGCCTTTTAAAACCTCGTTTAAACAAATAATTCGATCTAAATCATAAACAATAGCTTGTCCCCTAGTTATATAACTAAACAGTAAAGCACCAATCAAGAAATTAACCCTAAAATAATGGAAACAAAGTTTCATCTACACTAGCGCCTTTGTGTCACGTAGCCTACATGAACTAGACACGAAAAACGTGCTTCAAAATTTACAATGGGATGAGAAGTCTACGAACCTTTTGTCTACCGGCACATTTTTTTCTGCGTGTCACTTTTGGTATCTTAGCTTTCAACGCAAATAAAAAAACTACAGGTTATCAATTTAACGCCATTAACCCTAGCTTTTTCTAGTGCACGGTAAAGAAAGCCTAGGAATGATTTTAAAACTGATACAGATTGCATTTTCTCTGTTTGATGTATAAGATGAGGATTTATAGTTACTGTATTTTTTCTACAGTACTCAAAAATGTACTAGTCATCGTTTTAATAAATTTACAAACTTTATTTTAGGTAGTGCTGCGTACATTTAAGCCATTTTAAAATTAAAATACAACACTGTCTATAAATGCGCTGTGATGAAATCCTTACTCCCTTTAACGTGAATTAAACTATGGTCTTCTTCATAACAGAACATTAATTATACAGTAAAAATGTTGTTTTAAAAATAAAAAACGTAGGATTTATAACTGCAAACTCTCTAAAAACGGCAAAAGTAGTATTTTTACTACTCTTAAACCGACATTCATAATTTCGCAAATGTAAAATTTTAATCTCCAAATGAAAGGATTTGAACTATTTCACGTAATAGTGATGGGAGGCTTGGTAGCGACAAATGCAAACTCAAGATGGATAAAGGCAGAAGTAAAACAAATACTTGAGCCGAGCATTGGATAGTTAAAAGCAAAATAAAAGCAGTGAATGAGAGAGCTTACAATAGTGTGGCGAAATATCGAACAGGGGGTGGTCCATACAGCATCCCAGTGCTGCCAGCGGGAGGGGAAATTTCCCTGTGATGGGGAATTCGGGAAATTTTCGAAATTTCCCCGAATTGCTAAATCGTATATCGTATAAAGGTTATAATGCCTGCTATTAGGTAATCCATTGACTTTCAAACGCGATTAGTTTCCGTTCCTACAATACGCCATGTTTTTAAGTATGTAATGATTTTAACTTAATTTGGATAAAGTCATTGACTATAGTCAATGATAAAATGCACAGTTGGATAGATGGATAGAGTCACAATGAACTACAATATTTCTCTCCCTAAACCCCAAGAGTAAACCCCTCAACAGTACAAGATCTACTACCGAGTATTTAAATAATCGCAAAACTATTTACTAACCAAAAAAGGAATTGTTGAAAAAAAAAATAGAGTTTGACGTTATATACGTCCAACTTTTGACACCTCCAAACTTTTTTGATCCCCAAGCACGAATTTAATAGTAGTATTTTGTATATTCATAATATATTTTTGTGTATGTAATACAATTATCTACTACAAATTATTATTGTTTTGAAATTAGATTTTATTCACACTTCATAGTACTTTACTTATCTAGAATTTTACGACAACAAATGATATTAACATAGCTCCGCAAATGTATGACGAAACTCCAACCCAAATGGGTGAAGAAGTTAAAAGAATTTAATTTATACCAATATTTTGAACCAACATGTACCTTAAGTAGTCATACTAATATAATATGTTAACTTATACCCTAAAATCACAAGGGAATCAACCAAAATGACCGTAAACGTTCCAAAAATATTATAAAACTCCTTCCACAAAAATTGCCCATTTTCGGGAAATTTCCCCTCGCAGGGGAATCTGCTCTCCGGAGGGGAAATGTGAGCGACGGCGGGGTCCGGGCCAGATCAGTGATCAGTGTCGGTTCGGCCAGCATGGATGCAAGATGAGGGTGTTCTTGTGCATTTCCGTAGTGTTGGTGACAGCGTCGGCGGTCCCAGGGCCGGGCCTGAGGTGCGCCTTCGAGGACCTTTGTGCCTGGAGATGGAACTCCTCCGACTGGGAGGTCGCCAGCCACGGGGGCGGACGCCCCTTGGCCAACTACTCTGCCCAGCCCGTCCGGGACGCCAGCAACAAGACTGAAGGTAGGTGTATGTTTACGTCCTTGAAGATGTCGTCGAAGGATTAGTGTGTTGACACCAGAGGAAGCTGAGAAGAGATATGTTAGTGGGAGTTATTTGGGATTTCAATATTGTCAAATCGACGTACTGAAAAATTTACGGGTTAGTCCATGTAAGTCGTGATGGTGGCAAAGTGAGTTGACGACTAGAGTGATCACACATTCAATATGTGAATACGTAATTAGTTGACAACTGAGGAGGTATCATCACACTATAAGTGGTTAAATATACTCTTTAACTGATTGCTGATTCAAAAGTGCAAGTTATCCGGAAATTCAGTATACGGTACTACGTTGTCTACTTGATGTACTGGTAAATTTACAGATTCTTTTACGCGTTAGGTGATGATTATGGGGAAAATGTACATCCTGAATGGTTACTCCATCATCCTCTTGTTCAAATTCATTAAGGTTTTTATTCTTAGTGCCAACATGTTCAGATTCGTTGACGTGTTAGGACAATGATGGAAAGAAAATTGAGGAGGTTTATTCTCAGTATAGCAAATCATATTACTGAAAATAGTTAGGAACTTCATTAAGTTTATTCGTACATTGTCTAATTTAAGTACTGAAAAGTCACAGTTGACGTGTTTGTGTGATGATGAAGACAGATGGAATAGGCTACGTACATCATTTTCATGTGTGAGTATATCTGACATACTCTTGGACGAATCAACAGAGGAAAGGGTAAATCATGTTATTGGAAGCTATTTGGGATTTAACTATACGTATCGTACATTGTCTAATCGTTTTAGTTGACATTTTCCTATTAGGATGGAGGCATAGTAGGTCCTTAGCTGAGAAATTAAGGATTTTTGTGTTATCACAGTAGTAGTCGCTGGGAGTAACTAAAGAATAACTAGAGTAACTAAAGAAGAGGCCAGTGTCATAATGTGTTTATGTTAATGATCCATACCGTTTCTGATCTAATATTCGTGAGGATGAGCTAAAATTACCCAAGACAAAATATGTGAACAATGTTTTTTTCATACACACCTCATGACTTGATTATTATAAATTTGGCTAGATAACTTTGAGACCAAGGAGGCAGAGCTAAAGGAAAATTAAGATTAGAAATAAGACAGAACCTTTATGCATTTGTAGCATATATTAGTTTCCCGTTTGTAAGGTGATCGGATGACCAAATATGGTGTTTGGCGATGCAAATATGATAAACTTACAGGAATACATTTGATTTTTTTAACTTCGCACTTACTTAATGTTGTCATGAATATGAATATAAAATGATTGATGATAAATGATCAACATGAATATAAATACAAAAAGTTAATGCAGAACATAAGAAATACTCACTTGCAGTTGAAATTACGTTCAAAACCGTTTCAACCCCTAATATTTTCGAAGAAACTAGAGTAAATATAAATGCTGAAATAAACACAAAAGCACAGCAACGAAATTATTTCAATCCAACTTGCTGACACGAGACGGTTAAAAGTGATTAAACACCTTTATCCACCTTTAAAAGATGGATCTGTGTTAAATCTATATGTATTTCTTCTTAAACTATTTATAGCGTGTATTATATGTATACATGTATTATATGTTGAAGGTGGTGTTGTAATTAATCGTTGTAACGAATTTACCTATATAGGAATTAGCAATTACCGTACCAATCAATGAATTATATTGGTTATTTAAGATGGGGACGCCACTATGTGCGTATTTCAACCAAAATATCAGTGAAGGATGTGTCTTATAGTAAGACCTTGACCGTGGACAAAGAACACAGGGGGTCCAGGACCGATTACGTTCCCGTTTTCACGTTTGGGGGTAAAAGTTCCCATGTTTGATCCCAAGACATAAAATTTTGCAATTACTTTCAAAAAACGTTACATAGCCTAAAAAACTAATATTCCAATGTTATTCTTAGGTTATAGAGAATACAGTAATTTTAGAACTATAGAAATAATGTTGTTAACCGGTTTTTTTTACTTGGACATTGTAATAAGTTTTTATTTATATAAATGCTAGAACATGTAAATACAATTATTTATATTGTTTTAAGCTTTTTTGTGGAAGGAATCAAACATTGTAGAGGTTAGTTATCGAGTTTTGTATCAAAATATTTTCAACTAAAATTTAAAAACTAGAATGATATAACACACTATTCTTTTAACTGTGCACTGTTTTGAATAGGTACCCAAAAGTATTGAGTGACTTATATGTCCTAATGCATTATTAATATTTTCTTTTATACATTGCTTTGCTTCTTCAATCGGCTAAACATGTGCGTACATCAGTAAGAACCAGACGTTTAAAATATATTTGAAAAACACATTGTTATGATCCAAAGTGATAAAATCTGAGACAAAAAGTACCCAAACCGCTTGTTAAGTTCTTGGTAAAAGTTGAGTTAAGTGGCAAGTTCCTCCCCCGCATAATCTCAAATGGGAGTGTAGACCTCGAGGGCTCTTCCGCTCGTCTGCGGCTCAATTTTGAACCCTTCACACCCCTTTTACTTTCACCCCCTTTAGATGGAAACAACTTTGTTATCATAATGAGTACAGCTACAAACCAACCAAAAATAGAACGTAAACTATTTTATTACACACCAAAAAGCATAGAGCACACTAATTTTATTTTCAATATTTAATCGACAAAAACTATATTTAACATATGTTATTGGAGCTATTCACCAAAGGACTCTTGTGTGCATAAACAAATTTGAGGAAAAAATATGTAAATGGAATAGTTTCTGAGTGGAGTTGTAGTGAGAAAATATCTTTCATAAAAGACGAAATAAAGGGTGATTGATAGAAAATGAATTACAGAAGATATAGGATAGTATCAAAAGAAAAAAGATTAGCAAATTCTAAGAGATCTTCGGATTTAAGATTCTTTCAAGACAATTCCAAATGTATCCTGACACAAATATTTTTAGAAATCATCTTCAGAGTCACTTTCAGAATCAGTACCTTGAGATCCCACGTAAAATTCTCTCCTATCTTCTTTGGTTCCACGGATTTGCCTTTTCACAGACACTGTTACCCCGTTTATGACGTGTTCCGGCCTTCCCATCAAATCTCTAACGGATTGTTCTGAGTCTAAAGTGACAAAGCAATACCCTCTTCTCTCTCGACTGTCGGGGTCGTAAGGAGTTTTTATTTCGATCACTCTTCCGAAGTCGGAGAAATAGTTTAGGATGTCACTCTGGGAAACTTCTCTTGGTAAACCACCCACGAAAACTTTCCCATGTCTTTCTAAAGCCCTTCCAGTGTCTACAACTGTGTCTTTGATTAAGTGGGGATCATCTAGCAGCACTCTGTCAACGGATGCGGCGTTTTTGAAATGAACGAAAGCATACCCTTTTGACATCCCTGATGAGTCTGTTTTCAAGTCAACATGTTGTACTACACCGTATTTGCAGAAATATCTGTTCAACTCTTCTCTTGTTATGTGCCAACTCAAATTTCCGACGTACAATTTGTTACGCTGTCCATTCAGTGATTCATTGTGTTTGGGGGTTTTAGTGGAAACTTTTGGAATCGAGTTTCCCTTTCCTCCGGTTTTACCCAAAGCTTTCCCTACATCAACCTCTCTTTCATTGATTATATGTACACTGCCCGAAAGTACTCTGTCAACCGATTCGGCAGTTTTGAAAACTACAAAGGCATATCCTCTTGGCCTACCCGTCACGGAATCTATTTTCAAGTCGACTCTTCTGATTTGTCCATATTTGCAGAAATAAGTATGCAAATCCTCTTCAGCTATTGACTGATCCAAATTACCGACAAACAATACCTTATCAGAGTTGTTTGATGAATTATTAGGAGAGTGTTTTACTGGATGGACTTTAGGAAACGGCTTAAGTCCATTACATGCAGATTTGCCTAAAGCCCTACCAGTTTTTGCGAACTTTCCTTCGATGAAGTGTACGCTAGATAGTACTTTGTCAACGGAATCGGAACTTTCAAAATTTACAAAGGCATACCCTCTCAATCTTCCCACTGAGTCTGTTTTCAAATGCACGCTTTTTATCTCACCATATTTGCAAAAGTAATTGTATAAATCTACTTGTCTCACATTCAAACCCAAATTTCCGACGTACAACGAATTGTCGTGACTAAGAGTTTCATTTGAAGTTTGGCTGCCAGTTTCGTCCGTGGAAAAGTCACACCAGTTTATCTCCTCAGTAAGTTTAAGAGAATCTTCTTTAACATTTTCGTATATTTGTTGTTTCAAAATATTTAAAAAATCCATTCCAGTTATTCTATCTACAAGATTGGTCAAGCATACTTTTTCATTAGAGGAAAGTTAGGTTATGTTGGTAACATTCAACTAAACTTATCACCTGATTACAATACAATAAAACTAAACCTTTTAAAACACGATTGTGTATTCAAAATTCAGCATCATTCTAGTTTACAATAGTTTAAACATGTACCAGTTAATTAAAACTTCTAGAACCAACCTTTTCACTTAAACTATGTAATAACGCAATTTAGCAATGGTTGTGTGCCGAAATACTTTTTCATCTTTGGGGAAAGCACCACCAAAACAATCCTTTACTAAAACATAAAAGTCTAAAAAGTAAAATGGCTATAACGAGTCGGTGATTCAGTTTAATTGAAGTGAAATTTAATAATTTAACTTACGAACATGGCAACCACGAAAACAACAACGAAAAAACAATCGAGAACGCCTAGTTTTCGTTTTACAATAAACTAGAACTCAAATTCTATACAAGTTTTCAAGGTTAGAATGATTTTCAAGACATGTACAACATTTAACAACTGATGGTCTTTTTTTATTGATTTTAATGAATCAACACACCCCACTAAACCATATGTATTTTAAATTGCATTGTTGTTAATCATAATGTGGTTAGTGCTATCATAAACATGTCTCATTGTTTTCCAAACCTCACAATCTTTATAGAACAGTTTTTAGAAAAAGTTTAAACCACGCCCAACAGAGTAGGACGACGTGAACAGCTGTTCGATCAGAAAGTTAACATGCTAGAGGTTGTATGCGATTTTGCGTTTCTCAGCAATTATTGCAAGACTTGCAATGCACCATGGGATTGGGGGGGGGGGGGGGGTTAATACTCCGGTCTCGTTGGTCGTCTTGCAGACTCCTAATCTCGACGTTTTGTGTAGCTATCGATTGCTCTTCTCTCATCTACAGAACTCTCGTCCTTGGCAATGCCAGCTGATGAAATTAAAAAGGATTGCCAACTTTGCAAAAAATCAATTGCAATAAATTTGGAAATACTATAAAAAATTTTATGTTGGTTTGAAATGTTGTTCATGTTTCAGGTTTTGGATTTCAACAGAAAAATCTTATCCGAGTAGTCAAAGATTTATAGAACACTTAATATTTTATACGTTAAATTGGCCCCGGATGGAATTAAATACAGTATATAAACCCCAGCTAAGCTGTTTTATAGACGAATATTTGTAGTTGCTTAATTAATCCGTTACCCCCCCCCCCCAAAAAAAAAAAAAATAAAAAAATAAATTTCACATTTAGACTTACGTCAAAAAATACTCCTACTCAAAATAGTTTGCTGCCGCTTTATAAGCGCAAAAGTGTACTTTCAATTCAAAAGTCTACCTAGCATAAATAGATTAGCCTTAGCCAAATACACAAAGCACAAAAAACAAACACGCTAATAGGTTTATTGTTCGTTAAGTGCAATCATGATAAAGAAATAACGCCCACTAACATTATTTATTCATCAGTAACCAATAGGCGGGGGTTAAAATGTATTACTGCATTTTTATGTCTTCGAATTCATCTTGAAAATCCAATTTGAGCTTGTAGAATATGTTTGTTCAATCATATCCATATCCAGTGTTTGCTTGTGTAAACAAAAAATAATAATAGAAAGTCAGTATTGAAAAAAGTAATTCACTGCTAAATTAAATGTAGTTTTACGAGCATATAATTGGAGTTTTTAGTACACCAATAATTGGTTGCGTAATCAGTAGTTTTAGTCAAATATTTAGATTATTAGCTGATAAGCGTAGATGTTTCAAAATAAACTTCAAGGTCAAGTGAGTTATGACAGAAAAAAACACAATTTTAACAAGCGACACATGAGGCAAGATCCAACAATTATAATCAAGCAACAACACCTCTAGGCGTAGCGTCGTTATGTCCCCAGACTTATCTTTTTTCACATTAGCTGGACTCTAACATTTCACTTAAGACTTAAAACTATTTCTTCATACACACTATAACAGCTCCTCAATTTCCTCGTGGTTAACAATTTTAACTCGCCCGAGACAATATTTTTTTCGAAACAAAAGCACAAAAACTATCGTCATTATTTGCGTCGTACCTTTGTTATAGTACGATCATTAATCCACAGTAATTTTAGTTCGTAGGTTGGCAACATTGTTGCTCAGCTATCAGCGTCTCTCAGATTGTTCATGAAGCAGAAACTACCACGTAGGTTAGCCAACTTTCAATTATTGGGAGCGCCTAATTAATTTCATACTGTCTTGGTCTGTTAATGTTACTTAACAGAATTGCTAATACTTTTACGAAATTGCATTCATTTACAAAATCATTCGAAGACGTAAGTTGATTAAACAAAGCACTGTTTTTTTTACAGATTAAAGTTCATAAAAGGATTTTTAAATGACATGCTATACGAATCAGTGCTAGTTTGATTATAATCAGTTTCTATTTTTGTGAATATCTTAGAAACATTTTCACCCATTTCATCTTGTCTGTTGTATCCTCGTTTGATGTTCAAATACAACACTTGCAGCAGTCTCCATGCAGATGCAACGAGCTTATGTCACTGACTAACTACTATAGTCTGTATGATGCAACCTGTCTCCAGATTCTTCGGGGTTTACCGATGGTTTAGGGCACGAACAAGCCTCGGGTAGACAGGAAGCGTAGGAGACAGGTTCCATTATACAGACTATAGTATGTGATAGTTATTTAATCTCGTCATGATAGAAGAAAACTATCTAAGGGAAATTTGACGCTCCAAGTATGAATCTCGTTCTCAGTACGAAGCTCTTTAAAGAGTGGATTTTAAACGCTGTAACTCAACCACCAAGTAACAAGAAACCAAGTATACATACTGAAGCCAAAAGTAACAAGAAATTCAGTATATGTGTTGATGCTTTTAAACTCAGTCGCTAATTGTCAAGACACACAATCTCATACAAATGTCTTCTACATTTTTGTAACTCAAGCACTAAGTAACAAAATAACCAGTGTTCAGACTTTATAACTCAAGCACCAAGTAGCAAGAAATAAAGTGTATATACTAGAGATGTTTTAACACAAGATAATTGTCATGGCACACAGGGATCATATATGTCTTCTGCATTTTTGTAGCCTAACTCAAGCACTAACACGTTATCTGGTGTTAAGACTTTATAACTCAAGCACTAAGTAACAAGATATCCAGTGTAGATGCTGAAAGCTGTGACGTCATGGAAACCCTGACGCCAGTCTCCAAAACATCGATTTACGCTAATTTCAACCGTCCTTATTTTCAGCATAACCAAATTTTACCTTTAACTTTCTCTTAAATTAACATACTCGTATCTTTTGTAATGAAAATGGGTGTTTCTTTTTTTGTGAATGTTAAAGAGCTGTTTATTTTAAAAAGTGTCAAACTTTGCTTGCTTTTTGTGTTAACGTTTAACATTTCTCTCTTTATTCGCAAATTTTAAACAAAAATGCAATGCAATCTGTCAACAATCTTTCATTTCACTTAAAATATACATTTGCACTTTGTTAAAACTATACACTACAGAAGCCCATAAATCTGTATACCGATTTTCTTGTTACAATATTGATCTCAACGACTTGTACTTCAAAACATAATAATTTTATATTATCGAAATTTATTTTAACAAAATTGTATACATTGAAATAAAATATTAAATTATAAGTAAAGTGGGTTTTAAGATAAATACTGAAAAGTTCATGTTTCTGAGGTGAAATATAATTTCCCTACACACCTTCAATATGTTGATTCATTTTTAGGAAAAAGGAAATATTCTGAACTTTGAAGCAGTTTAAGGTAAGTCTGAAGTCAGGTATTGTCTAAGGTTATAAATACCAAATCAAATCAAATCAAATCAAAATAAAGATTATTTCCAACAAATAGTAATACAATAGAAATCATGGACCTCCACTTCCAGTGAACAAATAATAAAAAGAAACTTACTTACTTATGCACAAAAGTAAAAATTTACTTATAAACTAGAAGTAATTCACAGAAAGCAATGTTCAATATAACACATTGGGAAATAAGCCTAGGTGGGCTGGAATCCTGTGCGTAGGATCAGTCGCTATCAGTGGATTAATTTGTATTGGAGGACAAAAATAGGAATGTTAAGTGGAATATTTGTGAATAAAATGTGATTTTTGTATGGTTGAAGCGTAATGGCTGAATTTAGGCAATTTTGAGGGAATGTAGCCTTACTTGTTCTTTGCGTAGTTTTTTTTGCACCCCTGTTTCGACGCATCACACATAAAAATTTACAACAATTTTTATTTCCAATCAGTAGTGAATTTCAACTCAATTCTATGTTTCAAGGGTCGATAGGACACCCAATTACAACCCATGCGATAAAATTTATTTTTAATTTTTTCATATCGTGTTATTCAATTAACTAACGATTTAAAAAAAATAATTTGCGAAGGTAACTTATGCTCTAACCATAGCATCCCGTACTACTGTAATTAGCAATCAGCTTACTTAGATACTTTTAAAGCAAAATTAGCTACATTCCAATAATTAATCTTTAACAAATTGAACTCAATACACATTGATTTTCTTAAAAAAAATTAAAAAAATACATATGTAAAATATACATCTCCCAAGGTCGTTAAGGAGTGCTAAACAGATCTTTTTCAATTTGTCCACAAAGTCTGTCGACGCAGCCAAGTTTCTTATAATAACCTGCAGATGGCAGTGAAGCGACGAATCTGCACCTGGCATACGACAGACTGAGAAAAACAAAAATATACTTCTCTTGGTGAAGCGGTCATTGTTCATCATGTCTACTTTGATTATATACTTCGATGAATAAATAACGTTTTAAAGTTCATAGCTCACGATATTTTGCACAAGTAAACTTATTTTTTTTTAATCGTCTTTTATCAATCCATGAGATTTTAAAATACTGTACTTATTCAATAATCTTAGAGTTATGTTAAGTTTAGGCACTAAAATCAGTTGTAAGTTAACAAAAATTAACAAACAAAATAACACTTTTGAATGCATACAAGGTGTGAATACCTGACCATTAGCT